CGAGGTGGGGAGAGCAGCCGTGGGGGGCTGGCAGCCATCCCCGTGCTCGAGCGAAGGGAGGGGGGCCACGCAGCAAGCGAGCGGGTCCGGGGCGAGCTCAGCATCCTTACGGTGGTGGTGGTGGTGGTGTGGCCAGGGCGCCCCGCAGCAGCGAGGCGGGACCCACAGGCGATCCACCCCTGGAAGGACCTGGGCTTGCCCCTGACAAATGGGGAGCCCCAAGAAGGATCTGAGCCAAACCGAACATCTTCCTTGGACTCTGACTGCTGCACCAGCCGGTGTGGGTGTCAGTCCGGCGGGCGGGGGACAAGGATGGGAACTGGAGATGTGACTGCAATCACCCGGGGAAGAAATGGCGGCCAATCTGTCCCCGGCAGCCTCCCCTCCACTAACGTGACAACTGAGCCTCTGAGACGGTCCCTTCCGTGAAATGTGCTGTGAGCAAACGTAACGCATATAAGGCACTCGCCTTACGCGACGCCGTAGGCCCTGCCGGTGCTGGTCTGACTCCCCAAGCCCCTGCCACCCCTGCCACTCTTGGAACTGCCCCTGGGCATCCTCGCGCCTCTGAAGCTGCAAACAGAATCTCAATCCCGGCTCCCTGCTTCACAGCCCTGGACCGCCGTCTGCTGCCCAGCGCACAAAAGCCCTGCTCCTCCGCTGCCCGGCACACGGCCTCCCCAGTCTCCGGCGCCACCTCGCTTACACGTGCGCACACACTTACTCTCTCTCCCCGGTGCAGACACACACGCACACACACACTCACACACACATGCACACTCTCTCCCCAGTGCAGACACACTTACACACACTCACACTTACACACGCACACACACACACTCTCTCCCTGGCGCACACACACACTTATACTCACACTTACATGCACACACACTCCCCAGCGCACACACTTACACACACTCACACTTACACACACACTCTCCCCAGCAGACACACGCACACACTCACACACACACACACACTCTCCCCAGCGCACACTTACATGTGCGCGCGCACACATACTCTCCCCAGCGCAGACACACTTACACACACACGCACACACTCTCCCCGGTGCAGACACACTTACACTCACACACGCACACGCACTCTCCCCGGCGCAGACACACACTTACACACTCACACTTACACGCACACTCTCTCCCCGGTGCAGACACACACTTATGCACTCACACACACTCTCCCTGGCGCAGACAAGAGCGCGTGCACTCACACACGCACTCACACTCTCTCCCCAGACACACACACACACACACTCTCCAGTGCCGACACACACACACACGCACACACGAGAAGACCAGGAACCTTGCCAGTCTTCCCCAGGACCTGGCACCCGGAGGGTGCACAGTGTGTTTCTAGAATCTCAACCGCAGGGGAGGACATTAACCCTCCAAGCTGATGAATTAGACCAGCAGGCCATCTTTACACGCGGAATTACAGGCATGATGCAAACAGTACTCCCATACAAGCATTCACAATAGGGGGACACGTGGAGGGTTTGGCACACACAGTTTTCCAGGTCTTTGAGCACCCACATCGCCTCGGATGGTAAGATGCCATGTTTCCCTGTCTCTGAAAATCAAGCAAATGAAAGCGCAGTCCCGAGGATTACGGACGTGTGACATTTGTGACCAGTGGCTCCCAGGCTAAATGACCAAAAAGGGCCCCAGGAGGCTTTGGCCTTTTTTTTTTTTCTTTTTAGTACTTTTCCTCTCCCTTGACAGACTGTTATTCCAGAAATTACTACTGCTCCCATCAGTGTGCCCTTTCTGTCATCCTATAAATGGACGATGTTTAATCTGCTGCAAGTTGGTCAAGGAAATAAAATTACTGGGAACAGGCACCCCGATGGCAGGTGAAGTAAGGTCTGAGGCGTCTTCTTATGAGGTAAGAGGATGCGCTCCCCAGGCCTTTCGTTCCCAGTGGTTAGCTGGGATTCTTTTTTTTTTTTTTTAAAGATTTTATTTATTTATTTGAGAGAGAGAGAGTGAGAGACAGAGAGCATGAGAGGGAGGAGGGTCAGAGGGAGAAGCAGACTCCCCGCCGAGCAGGGAGCCCGATGCGGGACTCGATCCAGGGACTCCAGGATCATGATCTGAGCCGAAGGCAGTCGCTTAAACAACTGAGCCACCCAGGCGCCCCTAGCTGGGATTCTTGACGGGTGAGCCAAGCAGCGAAGACATGACCTAACCGCAAGCTAACGAGCTCGGCCGACTCGGGAGAAACAGCTGAGGCTCCTCATGCTACAGTAGCAAGAATCTGACAGATCTCAGCTTAAATCTCGGCCGCTGACTAGCCGTGCACCTCACGTCCCAGAACATTCATTTCTTTCAGCATCAACCACAGTTTACGGCGTGCCGGCTCGCTCCCGGGCCACCGTCCCACTCCACCTGCATTGTGGCAGCTCCTTACTCCTCACCACGTGCCTGTGAAGAGACACCACTGTCCCCACTTACAGCTGAGAAAACAGGCCCCAAAGTTCAGTAGCTCGATGTCACAGTGCTAATAAGCAAAGGTTAGGACAGCCTAACCCAGAGCTCTTAGCTACTCATTTGACAACTGTCATGTGAGCTCCTAGTAAATCTTCGAGACATTGAGTATACATCAGTGAACAAAACAGATACAAATTCTTGTCTTGGGGCGCCTGGGTGGCTCAGTCCTTAGGCGTCTGCCTTCGGCTCAGGTCGTGATCCCAGGGTCCTGGGATCGAGCCCCACATCGGGCTCCCTGCTCAGCGGGGGGCCTGCTTCTCCCTCTCCCACATCCCCTGCTTGTGTGCCCTCTCTCGCGGTCTCTGTCAAATAAATAAAATCTTTAAAGAAAAAATTCTTGTCTTCCTTATGGAACTGACATTCTAGAAGATGTGGAGAGGGGAGACGAACAGGAAGCCGTACATACAAATGTAAACCACACAGCATGTTTTTCTTTTTTACCTATGAGAAGGGTCATTTCACATGGTTCAACCTAACAGAACGTGGGAAGTGCACCGGGAAAGGGGAGGGGAAGAGGGATGGGCAGCAGGAGGCCGCTTGCCTAGCAAACCCAACCCACCGTGAGGCCAGGACATGCTGAGGGGAGGGGAGGGGAGGGGAGGAATCGGGAGTTATGGTGGATGCTACACCCATGTCGACACCAACCTCAACATCACAGGGTTATGAAGATCAAATGAAATAACCAAAGTGAAAAGGTTTGATAAACTAGGAAGCTCCGCGACCCTAACAAATTATTACTCGGTACTACTTCAAGTTCCCTACTTTGCTCTTGGGAAGGACAGCAAACTTCTTAAGGCAGCGATGTGGCTAGATGGCTCCCGGGGTTGCTGGTTCATACCTCACCTGAAGCTGAGAGGCCCCTGAGGGTCTGGGTTTAAAACCGGTCTCCCTGGTCCCAGAAAACAAGAGGCTGTGTCGGTGCTGTGTTCTCAGTGAGGTATTATCTACACAAAGGCGGCAGCGGGATGCGGCTCAGACAGACTGCTGAGATGCCCGCCAGACCGCGGTCTGAACAATCTACCAGGATCGCAAGAGAAAGCCCTGTTACTCGAACACGGTGACACGTCATAAAGCATACCGTGTGTCTGAAACTTAAATGTCGGTAAGAATTTCACCAGCCTCACCCACACATTCTACCAGATAATCGCTATTCGCTGGGCTCGGTAAAGATTACAATTAAAATAGCTGCTAAAACATAACAGACAAGGAAAAGGTAACCGACAGAAAATGACACTAGGTTAATTTGTAGGGAAATGAGAGGTAGGCATAGTTTCTTTTAAGAGACAGCCTTTATTGTAAGGAGTTTTACACCCAAGAATTCAAAATGTGGTAACGTTTTTTGGAATTTATTGATTTGTATTTAAAAGGAACCGCTGACACAGATTCACCGGAAATCACTGGAACAAGCGCGAGAAAACAGTTAATACTACCGAAACAGCAAAGTAATTCCAAGACATGTGGTTTCTCCAACAGAACAATACTGTCGATGCTGTCACTGATATGAAAACTGACGGCTCCTTACTCTTCTGAACACACAGTGGTATATAATTAACAGTATTCAATCACTTCTGTTCTTTCCGTAATATATAAAAATTAAAATACCAATTAAAAAACTAATATATCTTCTCTTTAAATGTTTCTTACAGATACAATTTCAATATTTTCATTCGATAGTGGTGTGGTTTAAGAGATTTTTTTCATTCACAAGTCAAACAACACTCCACGCCAAGAGAACAGATAGTCTATAGGCTCATACTGCAAATAAAGACTTCAGGAATGCAGTAACGGGCATTTCTAAAATACAAAATGGATAAAATTCTGAGAGGAAACATGCAATAAAGCTCTACTGAGCCGCTGGCCACAGAACTAGAACATTCTACTGATGATTTCAATGGGACTCCAGACGCTTCCAAACTCAACTTGAACTCTCATCTTAGGCTTTGTATTTTGCTTTTCCAGTTTCACTAATGACACAAACATGCTACAAAATAAAAATCCAGAAACTCACATTAGAAAAGCGTACTGTGCAACGAAAGGCAAGAAGAGCATTTTGCATGGCTCGGGTGAACGGTGCTGTGCTGTAGGGGACAGAGGGGGGTGGGGTCTTCTGCATCTTCCTCACCCGTGTGAGGAAACGCACGCCCGGGCCTCTTGCCCACGGAGCAGAAGCGGGTGCTTGAAGGAGAGTGAGTGAAAAGACTTAAACCTTCATTTATTTCTTACTTATGACTACATCTATCATCTGAAGTAATAATGGGACAGTTATTGTACATTAAAGCTGTTCAACTGTTGCAGCCAGCAAGAAGTGTCGCCCCAGCCTGGCCCAGTTCCAGCTCTAAGGACGTCTGTACTTGACTACAGCTTTATGTGACTAATGGGAACCATCCGTCTGTTCAAATTATGAGGTGCTGGAAAGAGAAAACAAGTCTTCTCTTTTGTAAATTTGTGTATGGGTTCTGAAAAATGAGAGTGAGAAAACGAGGCATTACTTACATTCAAATCCCTGAAGTATTCATTATAGTCAAGGGCATATCCTACAACAAACTTGTCTGGAATTTCAAATCCGACAACTAAAAAGAATCATAAGTCATCATTTAGATACAAGAAAACATCACTTTCAAATCGAATGCTTACGAATGTGCCTTCTCTACAAATACTCTCTAAAATCTTAAAAAAACAAAACCCAAATACCCTCTAAAGCAACTCTCAACCAATTCACGTAAAACTTGTTCGGGTCAAAGATGGTTAAATGACTGACATAAAGTAATTCACTTACAGTCTGGTTTATAGCCAACACTTCGAGGAGTCCTCTTCACCAGCAAACTGTTAATTACAAAATGTAACATGTGACATATGGAGACACGACAGGGCATTACAAAAGAGAACATTCATGCTCTGAGACATGGTCTCACCCGCACCTAGAATACTTGCTACGTGGAAGACTATGAAATGGGGAGCTAGCTCACAGGGACTGAGCGGGCCAGCAGTGTGTTCCCACCACAGCCAAGGCCCCTGCCTGCTCCCCACCCGAAACACGACTGACGGTTCTGAGAGCTGCACCTTGACCACTCAGCACCCACCAAAAGGCAGTGAATCAGAAGGGTGAGTGGACGGCGAGTGCCAACGAGCAGTTTCACAATCCCTGGAAATCCAATCCTAGAGCTGCAAAGGGGTGCGGGAGATGTGAGCATCACCTGAGGCTCTTAATACGTGGCTTACAAAGATCATGAGGCTAAAAAATAAGTAGCATGCTCGAGGAGCTAGTATTCATTTTTGAGAGCAAAAATTGCAGTTGGGATAAGCCACCTCTAACATAAGCCAATTTCGTAACTCAAGTGTGTACCACCTGCTGAAATTTTTCAGCCATTAAGAAAAGCTATCGACAGTGTTTTGAGAGCCTTTACATGTTAAGGGCAGTCCCAATAAAACTCACGATTTTTTATCTTCTTAGATAAATATATTTAAAAAGCTGGAAAGGACAGGGGCACCTGGGTGGCTCAGTCGGTTAAGCCTCTGCTTTCAGCTCAGGTCATGATTCTGGGGTTCTGGGATCGAGCCCCCCTCCCCAGACCCCCCGCCCCCGCATCGTCATCAGGCTAACTGCTCAATGGGGAGCCTGCTTCTCCCTCTGCACCCCGCCCCGCCCCCCCCGACTCGTGCTCCCCCTCTCACTCTGGTCTCTCTCTCAAATAATTAAAATCTTTTTTAAAAAAAAAAGCTGGGAAGGACATAAAGTGATATTCAATCTTAGCTACACATCAGACTCACCTGGGAACTTGAACAAAACAAAACCCAGATACCCAGGCCACACCCCCGACTGATTACATTAGAACTGCTGGGGATGGGACACAGACATAGGTTTCTTTTTTTTTTTTTCTTTAATTTGTATAAGTAAATAAACTATACAAGTATACTTCAGAGATCTTGTGGGTATGGTTTCAGACCACCACAATAAAGCAAATATCACAGTAAAGGGAGTCAAATGAATGTTTTGCTCTCCTAGTGCACAAAAACTGTTTACATTATATTGAGGTGTATTAAGTGTGTAATAGCATCACATCTAAAAAATGTACATATCTTAATTTAAAGACATTTTATTGCTAAAAAATGCTAACTATCATCTGAGTTTTCCGAAGTCATAATCAGTGATCAGAGATCACCACAGCAAATATAATAATAATGAAAAAGTTTGAAATATTCCAAGAATTAATCAAAATGTGACAGAGAGGGGCGCCTGGGTGGCTCAGTCATTGGGCGTCTGCTTTCGGCTCGGGTCATGATCTCGGGGTCCTGGGATCGAGCCCCGCGTTGGACTCCCTGCTCAGCGGGGAGTCTGCTCCTCCCCACCGCTCATGCTTGCACACTCTCTCTCAAATAAATAAATAAATAATCTTTTAAAAAAAGTGACAGGGACATGAAGTGAGCAAATGCTGTTGAAAAACTGGCGCCTACAGACTTGCTCGATGCTGGGTTGCCACAAGCCTTCGATCGGTAAACAAAAAAACAAACCCATGGTATCTGCAAAGTGCAACAAAGCAAAAGCACAATAGACTGAGCTATGCCTATATCAAAAGTTACTAAGCAGATATAGTTATAAAGTCCAATGTTTTTTTTTTATATAAAGTCCAATGTTAACAGCTTATTCAAATTCTTCATTTTGAAATAATTAGATTACCAGGAAGTCACAAAAATGCACAGGGAGGTCCCGTGTGCCCCCTGCCCAGCTTCCTCCAATACTAACAGCTCACATAACGAGTAGGTGACCACAACCAAGTGGACTTGGGGGAACTGACCTTATCCAGATTGCACCAGTCTTACACACATACATGCGTGTGCGCGTGTGTACTTCTATGCAATCCTATCACACGTGCGGATTCACGTAACCACCACCACACTCGAGATACAGACCTTTCCATCACACAAGGCTCTCTCCTGCTACCTCTTTATTTATAGTCACACACCGCCATCACCTCCCTCACCCCTGGCAACCACTAATCTGCTCTCCATTTCTATCATTTTGTCACTTTAAGAAGGCTGCATAAATGGAATCATGTAGTAGGTAACCTTTCGAGATTGGCTTTTTTTTTTTTTTTTTAAAGTAGGCTCCACACCCAGCATGGAGCCCAACATGGGGCTTGAACTCATGACCCCGAGATCAAGACCTGAGCTGAGATCAAGAGTCGGACACTTAACCGACTAAGCGCCCCCAGGTGCCCCTCGACATTTGAGGCTCATCTAGGTTGTCGTGCGGATCCACAGCGCAGGGTTCCATGGACGGGACCCTGCCGTTTGTCTAGCCGTTCACCCGCTGGGGGGGCATTCTGGGTGTTTCCCGTTTGGGGCTATGACAAATGAAGTTGCCATGAGCTTTCGTGTATGAATATCTACGAGGACCCAAGTTTCCATTTCTCCAGGATAAAGGCAAGTGCTTGAGTCGTACGGCTGCCACATGCTCAGTTTCTCACAAAACCGACAAGCTGTTTGCCCAGGCAGCCATTCCATTTGACATTCCTATCAGTTAAGTGTCTTTACATTTTTAATTGAACTTCTTAAGTTAAAATGCTTATCTCATCCTTCTTAAACCTGCATTGAATAAAAAGAATGAGCTGCCAGGCTTACTCCAAGCACAGGTACATATACCTCATAAAGGGATATATGATATACCTGTGATATTAAAATCTAATAGTGAGGGAGGGATTAAGAAAAAAAGGTTAAGAAACACTGACTTAGGCCAACTCCATCACTAAGAAATGAATGACCTAATAAGTACTCTTTGAGCACTCCACACCCCCAGCAACACAAAATCCCCGTCTGTCGTGAGGCAGTCTACCTCAATTCCACAGCATATTCCAGGAAAGAGGGACAAAAGACTATCCCGAGGCTACAGACTATCCTACACCACAGTAGAGAAATAAGCAAGTGCGTGGACTGGCTTACGGGAAGCTACTTAGTGCCCCAGAATGCATCACAGGTAGAGACCCTCTTGTCATAGCTGTCCCAAACCCACAGAAAGGGACTGACCCACAGGGGCACCAGCTATCAGAGAAGCCCCAAAGGACAAACTGCTGACAGATGATTCACTAGAAGGCTCACTCTGATTCAAAGATGCTCGATATGGGATACTTGGATCCTTTAAAAGAGGTTTATCAAAACCAGTTAATCATTTAGGAAAAAAATTAGATTACTATTTGACCCCTACACCAAAATTATAGAGCAGTCAAAGATTTAAAAATAAAAGAAGAAATTGCAACCCCCCCAAAACAAAAACAAAAACCACCCCAAAAAAACCACCCCGGGTGTTACCCTACCGAAAACTTAAGGTGGTAAATAAAGCATGAACTGTGAGCTGGGTTGCCTGGGTTCAAATCTCACCCCAATAGGGTGCTAGGCACTGTGCCTCTGGACAGTTCCCTATGCCTTGGTATCCCTAACTGTAAAGTGGGAGTAACAGTGCTTCCTAGGAGTTGTTAGGGATTAAGCTCTAATTATAATTAAATATAATTAAACTAGAAACAAAGGTAGAACTAATAAAACAAAATCCAAACAGCACAGGCAGGGCCTGGAGATGAGGATGGCATACGTCGTCACCACATCACTCAATTCCGGGAGCTCCGGACCCTCAGATCCCACCCCCTTCCTACTACCTCCTAAACCCAATGTGGGATCCCTGGTCTCAAGTCTTCAAGAAAGTCCCAAATCTTCTACCATGCTCCCCAGGACAAGTTGGTATCATTATTAGCATGCTAAAAAACCAAGTGTTATTAATATTAAGCAAAAAGAGGACCACAATGAAGGGCTTCCTTAACACATGACAAAATTATTTACAAAGCATATTTACTGAGTCTTATTTGAGGTCACATTACTTTCTGAAGGTAAAACAAGTTGAGAACATTTACCCTTACAAAGAACCAATTAATTACTTACTCCTGTTTCAAATGAAGAAAATAGCCTGTCAAAATGTTATATACATACCTTGCGACCTTGACCATCTTTGGATTATGCTCCTTGACCAAGGAAAGCAAGGTTTGCATTGTTTTGCCAGTGTCAATTATATCCTTTAAAAAAAAAAAAGAAAAGACATTTAAACAGCAAATAAAACCGAGTCATATAAACACGAAATACCAAAACCCCACATGTAAATAGAAGAATGCTATTTTTCTTTTTCAGTGTAGCCAACTCTCCGATGCAGGTGGTTAATAGACTACACCCTGGGGGGTGCCTGGGTGGCTCAGTTGGTTGGGCGACTGCCTTCGGCTCAGGTCATGATCCTGGAGTCCTGGGATCGAGTCCCGCATCGGGCTCCCTGCTCCGCGGGGAGCCTGCTTCTCCCTCTGCCTCTGTCTCTCTCTCTCTCTCTCTGTCTCTCATGAATAAATAAATAAAATCTTTAAAAAAAAAAAGATAGACTACACTCTGAGAAACACTGCTGTACGCCATCTTGGAAGTATCCAAACTAATAAGGTTTTACTATATAAAATGACTTTATATGAAAGTGAATCTTCACTGTTTAGTCAAAAGCAGGACATTATTCAAAACAAACCCATCTCTCATTGGGAAAATGCTTCTTAAACCATAACCCTAATGTTCTTCAGTGAAAATACTCTTATGGACGGTATAAAGCGATGCTTCACAAAGTGGGGTCCGTGAGTCATCAGAAACATCAGGGCTGGAGACTTGTGAAAAATGCAGAGTTCCGGGCTGTGGTGGCTAGAATTCAGATGGCCCCAAGACTCCCGTCCCCCAGTGCACACACCCAGAATAACGCCCCCAGCCCCAGCATAAGCACAACCTGGGAAAATGCTGGGACGGTCTCTCCTGTAACTAGTTATGTTCTATGAGGTGGTTGTAGCACACTGGAGAGAAGATCTCCGGCTGGTTTTGAAGAAGTCAGCTGCCATGTGAAGGCCACGTGTTAAGGACATGAGGTGGGCCTGTAGGAGCTGTGAGCGACCCCCGGCCAGCAGCCAGCAAGAAAACGGGGCCCTCAGTCCTGCAACCACCAAGAACTAAATTCTGCCAACAACCTAAATGAACTTGGGAGAGGACCAGAAGCCCTGGGTGGGATAGGAGCCCCAGCCTTGCTTCAGCCCGATGGGACTCTGAGCAGAGGACCCAGCTAACCTGTACTCAGGCTCCTGACCCATGAAAACTGAGACACTGAACATGTGTTGTTTTCAGCTGCTAAATCTGTGGTCATTTGTTAGGTGCCATTACCCCAGACAAAGTCAATCTGAAGTGGAATTAATGAATGTACATTTAAAAACAAGCAACCAGGGGTGCCTGGGTGGCTCATTTGGTTAAGCGTCCAACTCTCGATCTCAGGGTCAAGAGTTCGAGTCCTGCAATGGGCTCACGCTGGGCGTGAAGCCTAATTAAAAACAAACAAACAAACAAACAAAAAACCCCAAGCAACCAGTTCCCAGGGATATTCATGTACACAAATCCTCTGAAAACAGTGTTGTCTGTTTAGCTTTTGATCCGTAAGCTGGTTTCTATTAATAACAACAAAAATGAATTGGGGGTTACTGGTGCTCTTAAGTCTTAAACATTTCACATAAAAGAATGAAAACTCATTCTACTGGTGAGAGTATAAAGCATACAACCACTCTGTTAAGTCATTTGGCAGTAACAATAAAACTGAAAATGTACCAACCCTACAATCCAGTCACTGCCTGCATCTAGAAGGGACCCACACAAGTGCACGCCGAGTACCGCAAAGGGTTGCTCTTAGCAGCCCTGTTATAGCACAAGAACTACGAGACTTGCCCTATTCATGGGGCAATGAACTGGTGGGTTCGTACACTGCCAATTTTGCATTTTAAGCCAGCTAACTGTAGGTCTCAACACGAATAACCTCAGAACTTATTATGAGTGAAAATAACAAGATGTAAGAGAGAACATGTATAGTTTGGCACTATATACATTTTTAAATCACAAAATACGTTTTCCATGTGGATACATACATGAAAGAGAAGTATAAAAAAAGACGCATGGGAATGATGTATATCAACTTTAAAAGGAGAAACTTTTAAGCCCAAAAGAGAGGGGTAAGAAATATACCAACATTTTCCAATTATCCAATAAAAACAAACTACTAAGTATTTCTTACAAAAAACCAATCTCACTCCCTTATAACACAAGGCCACCGTTAAAATTGATGACGAGGAATTTCTTTCCCTGGATTACCTTTAGGACTGTGCATACTAAGTCAGAAAACCATAAACACTATATTGAAAGTATGTAGAACTTACCTCAACAATCAAGACATTCTAGAAGAAAAAGAAATGAAAATCAGTACAGTAAATCAGATAGTGTTTCCAATTATAACTCAAATCACATCATAACAAACTCATTATCCAAATTCTTGTTTTTAAGATACTTTCCTATCTCAAACCCTGATTTAAACAATGGGCCATCTGCTGGGATTTGGAACTCTTTAATGTGAAATTTTCACTGTAATGGAATTTTTTAAAATACAATTTGACCTATATGTTCATCTAAAAAAAATTCTCATTACTTTAAACAGAGGTCTCATCTTGGGCAAATCATGAAGTTTCTCTGGGCCTCAGTTTACCATGTGTAAAATAAGGGATGTGAACTAGTATGTATCTTCCAAGTCTACATTCAAGAACTATAATTTGTACCAGAACTCCAAAATCATGTCTTTAATTTACCATACAGGATCCAATTCAAAACCCATTTTCTCATTAGGCTGAAACTGATCTGTTTTTTCTGGATGTGTTCACATTCTTGGACTCAACTAAAGAAAGGTACCAACGCTTCCTTCCACCAGAAACCCTCACCCCATTTTCTACCTCTCAGAATTTTATAGCTGGAAGAGAGCCCTTGCAGGAGAAACCATCTAACAATTACATCTGAGGTAGAGAAGAGTCCTACCTGTTCTTATGCTAGTTACAGGAACGAGCTAGCATTTCACATACTGGTTATAATCACTGTCACAGGGAAGATTCATGCTATATTGCGATTTGTAGTTCTCACTTCTTGGTCACAAACCTATTGCATGACCATTTTAAGGTTCTATATATTCCTCTAAGTCAGTGGTTACCAAGGTAGGGCACACAAGATCCACAGGGTTGTGCAAGAAAGAAGTATTAGACCTTTTTTTTAAACCTCACCCTGTTTGAGCTATAAATTTTGCATGTATTTTGTAATATACATAATATCACTACCATAGTCTGTATTATCATTTACCTCTTTCCTCCCATGGCAACTACTTTGTCTCTTTTCAAGATACTGCCATCTCAATCTTTAGTAAAATAGAATCAATGGACCAATAATCGTGTCACCGCCTACTATGTGATTCTTTCTCAACATTTTCTCTACCCTAGCTAGCACATCGGAAGGATAACATTCTCCCATCCTAACTGTGGCTCACTGCTGCAGCAATGTACGCCATGGGATGGAGTTACAGTCTGGAAACAGCACTGAATCATGAGACAGAGAAACTGGATCCTAGTCTTGACTCTAGTACTAAGTAGCTGCACGATCTTGATTATGTCATAATCATAGACTTCTAGTAATATGAGATAGTTTGTACAAATCAACCACAATCCAGAGAGATTAAATATTTATCCAATACAAAATCATAGTATCTAGAGTATGATCTCAGTACAGTTTTAAAAATAAAGAATGAGAATTTCTACCATTATTAAGAGCTACAGCTACAGCTATAGCTACAGCTCTTAATAATGGTAGAAATTCTCATTCTTTATTTTTAAAACTGCATTCTTACTTCAGAAATGGAAACAATGAGGCTTCAGAGGTCAAATGATTTGCCTAAAGTCATAAAACTAGCCAAGTGGTAATGAGGTGTTTTCAGGGTCCAAAGCCCATATTCTCAACCACTAACTGGGGGGGAAAAAAAGGGGGGGGAAAACATTTATATACATATGTATCTACACACGTGTCCCCAAAAAACTGAAATAGAAAGTCTAAATAACCCACAATCTCACCACCAAGAAATAACTTCACCCAACTTAGATGTCTTGATTTTTTTCCACAATTAATGTGCTCTACTGTGACTATCATGAAAAGAAAATTATTTTAGAAAGAGACGTTTAAGATCACAAAGTCATGTAGTGGGACAGAGCCATTAGGTGGGAAAGGCAAGGTCAAATGGAATCCCAGGAGGCTTTAAAGGCGAGGTCCCTTCCAGCACTAAAAACTGACTATAGGAGTAAGGGCAAAACACGCTGAAAGGGAAGACTAGGTCTGGCAGTGGTATATATGATGGGCAGGAAGGGGAAAGAGTCAACAGATTATAGTTTCTCTTTTGAAGTTTTCAAAAGATGTTGAAGAGGACAAGATTAGTTTGGCAGGACCCTGATATGGGATAAGAGGATTTGACACAGTGTTGTATGCTTAAGTCTCCTACTAGACACTCAGTCAAGGAAGCTGTAAACATTTAAAAGCCAGAGGAAGAAGAGAGCTTTGAGGCCAGAAAGACCTGCATTTAAATTCAAGCTCTACCACTTACTGGCAGCGTGACTTTGGACAAGTCCTTCCAATCTACTGAGTCTTAGTTTCCTGATCTGTAAAACAGGGGTAACAGGATCTACCTCACAGGACTGTCGTGAAACTTTTATGAGATTCTGCCTTTATATCTGGCAGTGTTTATAAACAAATAACTAGCAGCTGAAAAAAATACAGCAATCTATCATTTCTCATTGGTTACTCGAAAATCATTTCAATGTATCACAAGAATAATATTCAAATATCTTAATATCTCTATTATTTCTGCCAATTGTCTATACTGGAACAATCTTGATGTATTTAGAAAACTCCTTCTGAGATTTCTTAAGATAGTAGTATGTTTGAACTAACTGAGTATTCCCACTACCAGAAAAACTGTTGTAAGAGGTCTACATGCATTATCTCACTTAATGCTCTGAACTCTGTGAGGGAACTGCCATTATTTAGTCCCTACCTCACACAGAGGAGACTGAGAGGTTACATAATCTGCCCAAGGTCACACAGACAAAGTACTGAGCCAGGCTTTCAAGCAAAGCTGCCCACCTTGGGGCACCTGGCTGGCTCAGTTGGTAGAGCATGCAACTCTTGATCTTGGGGTCGTGAGTTTGAGCCCACGTTGGGTGCAGAGTTTACTTAAGGAAAAAAAAAGCTGCCCATCTCTAGAACCCACACTTTCACATCTACTACATGATACTACACTACATGTTTCGCTGTGTGAGTCTATTTTTAAAAAGAAGACTGTCTTTCCCCCCCAAAATATATATATACTTTTGAAGAATTCCAAATTAGATCACACAGAGGAAGACAAGAGTACTTTGTAATACAGACTTGAAGTTTAACGTTGGATTCTGCTGCCTCTCTGCTATATGACCTAGGAAAAGAAAGCTAACTGAGATTGCTTCCAGGGGTTAAATAGCCCTTGTGTAAGTGCATAAATAACCGTGTAAACTGCCTCGTAGTGATAAAGCACAGTGTTACTGACTGACTCCTGGCATGAAGTCAAGAGAACTCTTTTCTTCCCCTTCAAGACACATACCTTTCCAGTCAAAGTTGAGAGATCATCTCCACCAATTACTTTGATGTCCCCTGTTGACTGGTCATTCTAGTTAAAAAACAAACAAAAAAAAGATGTAAGTATATATGTATATCCTTTTGTGTACACGCCTACATTTCAAATGATCAAATGGGAACTAGAAGATTTAAGAAGTTAGCTATCTAACGTCATCGCATTATGATATTCTAAACGATACAAATTACAAGAATTATGTTTCAAGAAATGAACGACTAGGTAACTTTCAAGTAGAGATTAGTGAAAATTTAAAAGTTCTAACTGGCCATTACTGATTTGATGCTCCTCAGAGTCGTACAAGTAGGGCACACACATCTTCGAGTGGGCAGTATCCTAGAAACCACCCATCTTCAGTCACAGTAATTTCTGAACCATGAAGTTATTAGCACGACATATGTCCAGTTCTGGCCCTGGACCATTGCCATGAATCAAGCAAGCTGTAGGTTCTGGTCTGTATCACACTCAACCCCAAAAATACTGCCCTCAAAAGTCTAGCCCAGGCACATGTCATCTTCAGCACAGTCTGGAAAAGCAGGTCTGATTAGCAGTCTTTTAAGGCCTTCCTCTTAGGAGGCTCCCAGTTTTCTGCTATCACAGAATCCAGTAGAAACCCTTACAGGAGTTTCAAAGGGAAATCCTCCATACCCACCGTAGTTGGTGGTGATAGTGATCATAATTTGACTGAACTGGAGCCAAAGAGCAGGTGAACAAAAGAGCTGAGACTTGCCCTACCAGAGAGCAAACCATACCAATGCTACGACAATTACAACAATGTTGTGTCAGCACAGTAACAGACAAAGAGACCAAGGAACAGAACAGAGCCCAGGAACATGAGGATTTAGTATACGATAAAGATGATATTTCAAGTCAGTAAGGAAAAGGTGAGTTATTCAGTGAAGCAGTTATCCATTTTGGGGAAAAAAAATAAAGTGTGATCCCTACCTCACAGCATACACAAAAATAAATTCCAGATGGATTAAAATCTAAATGTAAAAAATAAAGCCATCAGCAGACTGGAAGAAAATGTAGAAGAAATATTTTCACATTCTTAGAGAGGGTAAAAACCTAGGGATATCATGAACCCAAACGGAAAGAAAAGATCTGTTAACAAATATTCCTATTATATGTTGAGTTCCAAAACTAAGAAGCCAAAAGGAAAATGAAGAATGAACACAAATAGGCAATTCACAGAAGAGAAGGCCAGAACATATAAAATGGTATCAATCTGAGAAACAAACACTAAAACCATGTGATTCTACCATTCCTCCATTCACACTTGCAAAACGTAAGCCTGATGATATATGTTGACAAAAGTGAGGGGAAACCACTCTTGGTGAGAGAATAAACTGGTACAACCTCTTTTGAAAATGGTACAGCAATACCTATTAAAATTTAAGTATGTGTGCCGCTCGACCCGGCAATCCCACTTCCAGGAATCAATGCTATAAAAACACTCACAAATATGCAAAGGTACATACAAGGAGGTTCACTGTATCAACTATTTATAAAAAAAGAAAAATGGGAGACAACCAACGAGTCTATTAACAAGGACCTATTTAAATTAAGTGCATCCGCACAAGGTAATGCCACGCAGCTATTAAAAAGAATCTGAAAATCTATACACACGGACATGACCGATGGGAATTAAAAACACCAACTAGTAGAGCAATGTGTTGCCTACGAAATCACTTCTGTTCAGCAGTTTAAACAAATTTATAACATCAATTACCTCTGAGTGGTGAGAATGGGGAATAACAAAGCTTTTTACTTTTATATACTTCCATTCGCATCAGATGCTTCTATATACATGTCCATTTTTTATGGAGTGTCATTTTTGAAAAACACAACTGGGCCAAAACTATTCAGTGTTGCAAACTAAACAGATCTAAGTAGGACTTCTGATATGAAAAAAATCTAGCATATTACTTCTCATCTTAAGGAAATTACATACACCCTTTATTCTAACTAACTTAAAACCCAGAGTTTCAAACACAGGAAAGTGATCAATAGCCAAAAAAAAAAACCCCGTACAAAACCTGAAGCTTTCCAGGAGAGTCAGTCATAGTAAATTATTTACACTGTGTATCAAAGTACATAGTGACATCATCTGTAGAAGTTTGGTACTACAGTCCAATTCCAAATGACCTTTTTTTTTTAAACATAGGAAAGAACTAAAAAGTATGGAGTCATGGAAAAAACCCCTGTGAACCAAAGACTATGATGATAGGGTAAGAAAAAAGAGAGCTCCAAGCATGCAAGTCACTGTTGCTTCACTAGCATCCAAATCTCCATACTCCTGTTTGCCTCCAAGGTTGTTAGCTTAAATCTCTTCTGAGGCTTTTTTTAAAGATTTTATTTACTTGACAGAGACAGCGAAAGAGGGAACACAAGCAGGGGGAGTGGGAGAGGGAGAAGCAGGCCTCCCGCTGAGCAGGGAGCCCGGATGTGGGACTCGATCCCAGGACCCCGGGATCAGGACCTGAGCCGAAGGCAGACGCTTCACCCACTGAGCCACTCAGGTGTCCCTCTTCCGAGGCTTTTTTTTTTTCTTTTTTCTTTTCCCCATGTGAACAGCCGCCTTTCCTGTGGAGGCTAATAAAGAAGATTCACTGGAGAAAACTGCTACAGTCCACTTTGCTAGAATACAGGTATAAGTGCCCCAGTTGCACAGAAATGGCATCGCTGGATCAGTTACCCCACCAGAGGGATTTCCCTCCCTCCCTCTCGCCCCTCTCCCTCCTCTCCTGGTGGAACAAGCTTCCCACTGTAGTCCTGCTTTGTTACGTTACTGAGTGACCTTGTATGCCTCATCTTGAACGAGATGATGGGGCTGGCCCAGGAGAGGGGAGAGTTCCTGGCCCCCATGTTCTTCCCTCTTCTCTACCATCCCATCTCCTCATTCTTCCCAGCCAGAGAGCCCAATCTGTCCTTAACTCAGAGCGTCATTGTCAATGACATAAAATTCCCAAAGAAGCTCTCTGGGTCTACAACTCTACCCTTAGCATCTGTGTTTCCCTTTTGTCTACCTTTTTTTTTTTTTTTTTAAGTGTTAAGACTGCCAGTGATGATTTCTGGGTTTTTTAATTCAAATATAATTAACACACAATGTTGTATTAGTTTCATATGTATAATTACCTTAATTTTTTGCTTTTTAAAGATTTTATTTATTTATCTGAGAGACAGAGATAGCACAAGCGGGGGGGGGGGCGGGGAGGAGGAAGCAGAGGGAGAGGGAGAAGCAGACTCCCCGCCGAATGGGGAGCCTGACGCAGGGCTCCATCTCAGGACCCTGGGATCATGACCCGAGCCAAAGTCAGAAGCTCAATTGACTAAGCCACCCAGGTGCCCCCAATTACCTTTCTTGAGTCTGGGTGAAAAGATGAGAAGAGAAATAGAGGAACTTCGTTTATTCCTATTTGTATATCCCTAGGGATTCTGTGACCCTCCAGGCAGCAACAAGAACTGCAGCGTGGTATTGGAGAAGAGGAGAGAAAACTATGGGAAAACACACCATGAGAGGGCTACAAAAAACCAGCCTGGGACAAACAGGCCTCCTCCTGTGTGCAGAGGATGCAGAGGCCAATCCCCAAAGCTGAGCCCCCAAGACGGCAAGACTAGGGAGTTGTACTGAGGTAGGAAATCCGGGCTTAGCACCTCGCAGCTTGCTTACTGCAGTGAACCTGGGACCGTTCTTTCAGAGCCCGAGTGGAGTTACTGGGAAACTCATTCCTTCTACCTCCAGCTAGGTCCCGGCCCGCCACACTCAAGCATGCTTTCTCTGCACATCCTACTCGTGACTGTCCCCTGTCCTCTGGCTGTTTTCCGTACCCCGATCAAGTATCAACAGCAGTGAGAATATTTCAATCGTATGCTTTTAGAGGCAGACTGCACCTCAGATGGAAAATGGCAGAGATCCAGTTTTCTAAAAATAGATGCAGAAAAAGAGAAGTCTGGAAGGATATATACCCAGGGAGTCATTTATTTACCTGTATTTTAGGAGTTTTTTTTAAAAGAACGTGTTGCTTAAAAAAAAAAAAAAGCTATTATCACCAGTTAAAAAAAAAAAATGCTGATAGTGAGGGACACGTGGTTGGCTCAATGGGGAGAATGTGTGACTCCTGATCCTGGGGTTGTGAGTTCAAGTCCCACACTGGGCCTAGAGCTTACTTAAAAAATAAAAATAGTGAAAAGAAGGGCCATATGCGAGCGCCTGGGTGGCTCAGTTGGTTAAGCGACTGCCTTCAGCTCGGGTCATGATTCCAGGGTCCTGGGATCGAGTCCCGCATCGGGCTCCCTGCTCTGCGGGGAGCCTGCTTCTCCCTCTCCCACTCCCCCTGCTTGTGTTCCCTCTCTCGCTGTGTCTCTCTCTGTCAAATAAATAAATAAAATCTTTAAAAAAAAAAAAAAAGGGCCATATGCACCCCAATGTTCAGAGCAGCAATGTCCGCAATAGCCAAACTGTGGAAGGAGCTGAGATGCCCTTCAACAGATGAATGGATAAAGAAGATGTGGTCCATATATACAATGGAATATTACTCAGCCATCAGAAAGGATGAATACCCAACTTTTACATCAACATGGATGGGACTGGAGGAGATTATGCTAAGTGAAATAAGTCAAGCAGAGAAAGACAATTATATGGTTTCACTCATATGTGGAATATAAGAAATAGCGCAGAGGACCACAGGGGAAGGGAGGGAAAACTGAAGGGAAAGAAATCAGAGAGGGAGACAAACCTTGAGAAACAAACTGAGGGTTACAGAAGGGAGGGGTGGGGGAATGGGTTAGCCCGGTGATGGGTATTAAGGAAGGCATGCGTGTTATACGCAACTAATGAATGGTTGAACACTACATCAAAAACTAATGATGTACTACTATATGCTGGCTAACTGAACGTAATATTAACAAATAAATAAATAAAAATAAATTTTAAAATGATGGTACTGAAGTGGGGCGTTTAGATCATTTATCCCCTGCACTATCCACTACAGTAGCCGTTAAGCACATGTGCCAATTACAGTTGACCCTTGAAC